CCACACACACACACACAAACACACTGCCAAGTCGGGGCGCAAGCACGCACAGAGTCACACACACACGCACGCACACACAGACAGACAGACAGACAGACATAGAGGCACACTAGCAGGCGCGCTTAAATTCCCATTACGGCCATAATGGCTGCGGTAGCTGTGCGCCTGTCTGTATGTTTCAATGTGTATGTGTGTGTGCGTGTGTGTGAGTGTGTGTGTGGCGGCTGGCAAAGAAAAATGGAGTGCAGCACTGCGCAGGATCATTAAGGCAACAAAAAAGACAGGCTGCCGGCAGGCGACACCTACACAAACAAACAAACACACACACATACTCGTATACTATACACACGCACATAAAATGCGCACAAATGAATGCGAAATGTCAGTCAGGCCGTCAGATACGCAGCTGAAATTTATACAAACAAGCGCAAAGACGGACAGTTGGACAAACAGACAGACAGACAGACAAGCGAACGCACAATCAGACAGTTGGGGCAGCAAATAAAACGCACGCATAAAGCAAAAGCAAACAAGGCGCTAGCGGGAACAAAAGAATTGCCAAGAAGATACCCAAAAAAAGTAAATAAATGCGTACAGTAGAAATCGATTAAGCCGGACATTTTGAATATTAGAGTACGTCAAAATATTGAGGAAATTCTTAACAGAATTTAATTCTTAAACAGCACAGAAGCGACCATTGATTGATGCAGAATTTCCTACAATTGTCATTTTATGCTCTTTTTCTTTACTAACTGAAAAACTGAGGCTGTTCACAAGTAACAATTTTAAAAGAATTAAAAATGGATTAGATGGAGAGACATATAGGTACTATATACGATACATTTCTAATAAACATACATATACTCGTATATCATTTACTTTCCATAACAAAATTTATTCATGAATTAAACATTTTTCACTCACGTGCCCAAAAGATTTCATTGACATTTTAAAGGAAATTAAATGGATGTCAATTGAAATGTTTGAAAAAAGAAAAATATATTAGCAATAGTTTACAGAGTCAAGAAATTGGACTGCATATTTTCCATAACAAAATTTATTCATTAATTAAACATTTTTCACCCACGTGCCCAAAAGATTTCATTGACATTTTAACGGAAATTAAATGGATGTTAATTGAAATGTTTGAAAAAAGAAAAGTAAAAATATAAGCATTAGTTCCAAATTTAGAGTATTACATAGAAAAAAGTAATATCTCACCTCGACTAGGAAATTTGTTTTGCTACTCCGCCCTCATCCACAACATGTTAACTAACTTAAGATAAAGACTGAATTAATTTCATAAAAATAATTTGAAGTGAACTTTAATACTTATAAGAAGTATTTCAATTAAAAACCAGCTTATCTGCCTGATAACAATTTATTAGCCAACAATTTATTATTAAGGCTGTTTTTTAATGACCAGAAAACACTTTCTAAAAAACCTTCAACTTGAAAGTAAACTTGTAGAGAAAGTTCATACAAATACCGAAGACTTCAATGTCGAGTCCTGTTTGTGTAGGATGGCAAGCAAAGTTTGAGATCCCCACTACAATCAATAAGACCAGATAAGGAATTTGCTTCTACTGTTCAACTGATTAGGCAATTCTTCCTACCCGTTTTGTAATTAATTAGCAACAATAGATTTGAATTGTTAAATCAATCGCCTAGTTGAACTGCCTGTTGTAGGTCTTTTGAGGAAAACCTTAAGCAATTTCAAAAATTCCTAATTATTTCATAGCTTTGTTATTTCCACAAAATGGGTTTGAATTAACAAATCTATATGCTTTAACAAAAGAAAAAAAGTCATAAGCTTCCCGATAAGCAACTTTTACTGTAAATTAAGAAAAGAAAAAAACCATAGTAAATGGCAAAGGAAAATGGTGGCCAAGTACACACACACACATACACACATAGACCAACAGGAACAGCAATAACACAAACACATACACACTTGGGCGCTTCGTCACGTTATATGGTGTATATAACAGACACGCAGCAAATTTACCTCAAATGCCTGCTGCTACAGATACGGATACATACAGGCGCAGATACATTTTTTAAGTCCCACAGCAGCACATACATATATACAATACACATACACATAAATACAAAGAGTAAGCGGACAAAAGCGCACATGCCATGGATTTAGCAAGAGGCGGCTGCTGGGCGACTGAGACATGAACATGGAAGTAAATGATGATGCTGCCACTGCCACATGGAAGACGAAGCAACAACAACAGCAACAACAACAGCGGCAGTTGAAGTACTACTTGGAGCAACAAATACAAGCAAACAAGCGATGCTATATAAAAAAGAAATGCTGGCGAAAAAAATCAGCGAAAAAGACAGTACAGACAACAACAACAAGAGCAACAACAGAAAGAAGAACAACATCGGCAGCGGCAGCAACTTGTCTGCTCCGCCTTTATAAATAATTCATGTGTAGCACATACACACACACACACACACATACGTAAATACATACACACACACACACACGCAACGAGTGCGAGAGATACGCAAGATATACCCCCAAAAGCAGATACAACTCTGAGATACACAGATACAACGCCAGCGATACACGACGTTTAAAGATACACGACGAGGAAACGGCAAACGGGCCAAAAGCGTGTTGTTGTTGTTGTTGCTGTTATTATTGTTGTTGTTGTTGCTTATGCCGCAGCAGCAGCAGCAGCAGCAACAGCAACAACGAAACATTTAAAACGTGCTAAACGCGCGTCAAAGTTTTTCTTAATTTTTTTCAACGGGGAAAAAGTTTTTCCCGCCAACAAAAAGGAAAAAAATGTATATATGTATGTATGTACATATAAATAAAAGTTTCACGCAAGCCGCCCTAAAGCCCTCAGAGGACCGAAAAATAAAATAATAATAACGTGACGCGTTCGAAGGATCTCATTTCGCACAATCCCACATCGGCGTGCACTCAAAAAGAATTTTAGTTCTGTACGCAAGAGAGATTTTCAAATTGCTTTATTTTATTTTTCTTTACGTATAAATATATTTTTGTAGTATTTATTATATGGTTGATTTATTTAAAAAGTAATGTCATACTCGTATGTTGTACATTTATTATTACTAGTTGGTCCGATTAGTCTTTAATTGTCTTTTTTTTTTTTGGAAAAAAACGCCTGTTCTTATATTCGGAAATAAATAGATTATAACTTAAATGAATTCACTTTTAATAAGTTTTGCTTAGTAATTTTTTGTTCACAATTAGTTTTATTTCACATAATTCCATTTGAGCTATTCATTAAAAATGTAACACAAAATGTGTACTGAATGTATATAATATTTAAATATGCAATGTTTCAAAATATTTTCCGCTTTAAATAATGCACTATTTAAATATTGGAACCCATTTGTATTTATATTTCCTTTAAACTTTTCTAAATATTATATGCTTATATTTAAATTAAAAGTTCTAAACTTTTGTTAAATTTTATGATTTATATATTTGATTTTTGATTCTTTTTAAAGCAAATGCATATAATTTGTTTTACTAAATCTCTTCTTCATTTGACCAAATTATATATATACTCTATTAGTGACTATATATAGTATGAGTATAATTATTAAATTATATTCTTGAAGCAATTTTATTTCATGTATGTGTTCTTAATACATTTCTTAGCTACATGTAAATCTATTAATATCTGATGAAACAACGTTCTAAACTAAGTATTATTAACAGAGTTACACAATTCCTAAAGAGAGTCTTGGAAATTACTTTTTCTCTAAATGTACATACATAGACATACGAATATATCTATGCGTATTTACTGGGAGCTGTATATGCACCCCGACTTTGAAGTACATAATGTGGCAATGATTGCATTGATTTTTTTTTTGTTTTTTTTTTTTGGCAAAGCCTGAGACCCTTAGCAGTGCGGGCTCAGCCAAAACTTTTGGCGTTTTCAATTTTCAACTTTTCTCCAACACAACTTTAATGCCTGAGAAGGAGAAGGGGCGGTGGCAGTCAGTATTTGGACGTCGTCGTTCTCTATGTGTTGCCTGCCTGCCTGCCTGCTGTTGGCGAGATTTATGAATTTTTCAAATGTTTTGCTTGCCGCGCGCAAACTTTGGTGAAAAGTTGCCACTAAGCTGCTTTCCTGCTCGACTGCCTTGGTGCTTTTTGCCAGGCGCTGGGTAAACACACGGCTCGGAAATTATGTTATAACTGTTTGTTAATTAGTGTTGCCTTTGCCCAGACATTATTGCTATTTGTTTTTGACTTTGCCATAATTACTAAAATAAATTGCAAAAATGCAGCTGCAGCTACAGATGAAAACACGGAATATTGAGAGCCGTCGGCAAATGACAAATTCAAGTGCCGTCGGCAAAAAGCAAAGCAGCTTCCGCTTATTATGGACGTTTTTTTATTGACAAGACACTGAATGGCTTTGTTAAAAGATTTAAAAACTAATATACCCATAACTGTTATAGTTATTGTGTTTTGGCAGAGTAATAAATTGCGAAAAGGCAGAATTTTATTGCAGAGAGAGGTGATTAATTTATTACAGAAATGTGCCTTCTAGGAATATCTAGTATTAAATAAATTAAATTTTTTTAAACAAATATAATCAGTATGTTACAAAAGAAAGTTAAAAGTTGCTTAATAACTAAAACATAAACTTGAGTTCCACAGTAGCAAAAAGTTTGTTTTCAACACATGTGTAAGGCACAAAATCAATAAAACTGAACATTACATGAAAGCAGCGAAGGATTTTAATTAAATTTTGTGTATGAAGTGCATTGGGAAGTTTGTTCGGTTGCGAAGTTAGTTAAGAAATTATTGTTTTTCGAAAAGTGGTTTTATAGTAAAGAGGACGCATATGATATTTGCATACCAGAAAAAAAATTGCTTAAGCTCACAAATGATTTGTAAACGATAGTTTGTTGATATAGACAAATGAAATGTTTGTGCAATATTTTTATGCATATTTATTAATAAAAAAATGTATCTATCTATTTTGCAGAAAAACAACGTCTATCCCACTGCGTTGGTTGTGGCGGTCAAATACACGATCAGTATATCTTACGCGTTGCACCCGATCTGGAATGGCATGCGGCGTGCCTGAAGTGCCAGGAGTGCCGGCAATTTCTGGACGAAAGCTGTACGTGTTTTGTGCGCGATGGCAAAACCTATTGCAAGCGTGATTATGTTAGGTAAGTATCGCAAAGGTACATTATTTTTGAGTTGCACGCGCTATTAATTTTCCGAAAAAAAAGTATCATGCGACAAGGTTTTTCAAATTGTAACGGCCGCCGCTTGTTGGCCAACCTAATTAGAAACGTCTTGTCAAGAACTTTGTTCGGCCCTGTTATGGAAATTCTAACGATGGCCCCACATGAATATTTATTTAAATATTATGTGTGCTTATTTGTAGTTTCATCATCGCTAAAGTTATGACGTGCAATAAAATTTTGATAGCAAACAAACATTTTTTTGTTATCACAAGTGTTGGAAGCGTTGCTAACTCGCTTGACCGACCAGAAAACAAACTATTTGCTATGCAAATCTTTGAATAATTGATTAACACGTGCAAAGCTATAAATTAACACTTTCCTTACACATTGATGATTGATGAACGGCCGGCAGTTCCAGGCACAAAAGATTTTTTATAGCCATAAACAAGCTTCGACTGCGGTCGTGGCTCGGGCTGCGGCAGCGACTTTAGCATCTGTTGCTGTTGTTGGAGCTTATGATGTTCTTGTTGTTGTTGTTGTTGTCGTTGACGTCGGCACTTGAACCTATTCAAGGCTATATTTACAAATTCCCAATAACTAATCATGCGCCCCTCCCTCCTTTTGCAGGTTATTTGGTACAAAATGTGATAAATGCGGCAACTCCTTCAGCAAAAACGATTTTGTGATGCGCGCCAAAACGAAAATCTTTCATATCGAGTGTTTTCGTTGCTCATCTTGTGCGCGACAACTACTGCCAGGTGAGTAAATCGAATCTAAGAAATCCAATCCAATCCATTTCAATTACGAAACGCTTCGGTCTGACCGATGTTGTTTTGTTGAGGGTCCTTATAATATAAAAAGATTACACTGAAATGCAAATTAAACAAAAGAAACAATTAACTGTCCAACGAAAGGTTGGAAATAGTATTCAAAAATCCAAAGATAATACAATTTTTGTATGGAACTAATGCTTTAAAGGAATCAAATACACAATTTGTACTCAAAAAGGCCTCCAAAAGTGAATAGAGAACAAACGAAAATCGAACATTAATTATAGAATTTTATTTCTGATTTTTTTATTTCTTTTCAAAAGTATTTCAATATTGAATTCGCATGTCTAATTGATTTCTTGCATTCAACTTAATAAGTTTCTTTAAGACAAAACGAGAATGTTGTAGAAAACTTTTACTTCAAAAAAATGAACATGCTTTGAGCTACTTATGATCATCTCATGGATCAGGCAGACATATTTAAGAAGCATATTTGGAGAAAAAGTTGCATTCTCTAGAAACTGCAATAAATTATTTATGTATATTGGCTTCTACAAAACGTTTTAAAGTTGAATTACAAACAACTTTCGTTTGGATAAAGTGTTTTGATATTGAAATCGATTCCCAAAATATTTAAATTAAATTCTAATGAAACACATTTAATCAATTTCTGTCTGATAGGTGATGAATTCGCGTTACGGGATGGCGGCGCTTTGTATTGCAAAGAGGATCACGATATGCTGGAGAAGTCATCGCAGAGCAGTTTAACATCATCATCCGTGGAGAGCAACAACAATATTAGCAGTAGTAACAACAACAATACAAATCTTAGCAATAATAATCATTCCAGCGAACTGGGCTCAATGTCAGGTGAGAATACATAACATACGACAGAACGAGTCTTATGTAAAGCAACGACGAAACGCCTGCCAATTAGTCTAAATTGCGGTGAGAGGCGGCGGCACTATAGAGTGTTAGACAAAGCGGCACGCTCGTGTTACATTCTTAGAAAAACAGCGTTACATCCTTGTAAGCGATAAAGTGTCAATAGAAATCGGCAACGTCAAACAATGTACGACAATTGTCAAACCATATCGTCAACATAATCTCATTGTTTAACGTTGTTGTTGCCCCTATTCCTGTTGTTGCTGTTGTTGTTGTTGTTGTTGTCGCTATGGCAAGTCACAATTGCCGCATCTTATCAACACGAGGCGGTGTTGTCAAAGTTTAGGCGTTGAGTGTGTAGCAAACACTAGACAGAGAGTCTTCATCTATGGGTCTCAAAGCTGCAGCACTCGACTCCAATTCGAATGGTCGCCGCTTGACGAGCGGAATTTGCAAGGGACGAAGGGGCCGGTGGGGGGAGCAAACAAAGCTCAGAGTTGCATCGAAGCGTTCAAGCAGGCAAACATTGAATACTTCTTGGGAATTTCTGTTTCCACATTTAAGTGAATGAAGCGACGACGTGGTCGTCGATCGTACGATCAATCAGAGAGCATGCCCATACACGAGTACTCCTGCATCTCATTCATTCTAAATACATACAAGTATACTCGTATTAGTAGTTCCATGCTAGTTTTTTGTCCCTTGATGTTTGTTTATTTGTTTTGAACTTGAAAAGTGCACAAACCGGCCCGTACTGGCGCGGCAAGTGTTTGCCAAACTGCGTGGCACCGGTGCGGCATGCGGGCTTTGAAGTCTCACATATTTTGGCAGCTCTTTAATTTGAGTAAAAGTTTTTTGCCATTTTGGCAAGAATGCACGATTTCAGGTCATCGGTACTCGTGGTTAAGGTCTCAAGTGATAAGAGAGCGACAAATTTTCAAATTTTCGATCTACATGTTCAAAAGGCGCGCCGCGTCGCGTCGCGCCGCCCAGATATAAATCATTTGTGTTCTGGTTCTATGTTTCCGAGTCCCATAGATGCGCCATGCTCTCTGATCAGTCATCGATCGATCGATCGATCGAAAATTAGATAACAACTTGTCAGAGGGTTGTGAAACACGACTTAATTATGTGGCATTGTTGACGTTCGTGCACCGTCTTTGATCTCTCTCCATGCCACCTCGACTCGACTGTCTGCTATTTTTGGGTGGTATTTTCGTCTATATGTCAATTGGAATTCGCTTTGTAGCTGTACGTAGACCATTTATCAGTGGCACTTCAAAGAGGGCGCAAAAATAGCGCACGCAAAAAAAGAAAGAGACAACAAATAAACGACCTCCTTTCCATCTTTCTGCTTCTCCCGGCTACTTACAGACTCTGGCAGTGAATCGGGCTCACATAAAAGTATTAGAGAAAAGCGACCGTCAGGTCCGTCGGATGGCAAACCCACGCGAGTGCGTACCGTACTGAACGAGAAGCAGCTGCACACGCTGAGGTAAGTTGGACAGGTCCAAGAAACGATGTCAAAACTGATCACCACATCTTTGCAGAACCTGCTACAATGCTAATCCGCGACCTGATGCGCTCATGAAGGAGCAGCTGGTTGAGATGACGGGTCTGTCGCCACGAGTTATACGCGTCTGGTTCCAGAACAAGCGCTGCAAGGACAAGAAGAAGACCATACAAATGAAATTGCAGATGCAGCAAGAGAAGGTAGCTAAAAACCTATTCCAATTTTTCCAATTCACCAGCTTATAATTTTATTTTTAACATTATTCAAGGAGGGTCGCAAACTAGGCTACGGCGCCATGCAGGGCATTCCAATGATTGCCAGCTCGCCGGTGCGCCACGACTCGCCGCTGAATCTGCAGGGCCTGGATGTGCAGACATATCAACCGCCATGGAAAGCCTTAAGCGACTTTGCGCTCCACGCCGACCTCGACAGCAATGGCGCCATCAATACGCACACGCCGGCGTTCCAGCAGCTTGTCAATCAGGTAGGTGTTGAGACTTCAAAACTTTTATAAATTTCAGTTAATTTGTTGTGGGACCTTAGTCTTAAAACAATCCCAAATAAAGGATTTTCTTCTCATAAAGACTGTAATAAAATATCAAATTATACGTTTTCGAACATTTTTCGCCAACTTCAAAAGATTCTTATATATTGAATAACTACAAATTTTATTCAAATCGGTATTATAAAATATGAAAAAAATGAGTTTTATTTTTATGAAATAATCACCTTTGCTTGAGTAATAAAATAACTAAAAATATAACAATCACTCTTTTCTCCTATAAATCATGTTTTAAAAATGATTCCATTCTTCCAAATGAATGCTTCGTTTTTTCACATCTCTACCTTCTATTTAGACGTATACTTAAAAATGTTCATAAGATAGCTCATATAATACGCAAAATATGATGATGCTTCCTATTCTTAATAAAAAAAACCAAACTCAAGAAATAATTTCTATCTCTATGAACTTATTTGTTGAAATATTTTCTTATAATCTCTTTTATAATAAGTTTCCCCACCTAACGACCAGTATATCTTAATATTTGAAAAATATTTGCTGGTTTTTTAATAAAACTTTTAAGACCTTTCAACTGTCAGCAAAGAATTGTTTGTTAATGTAACTACTGGTTGTTTCTTACAGATGCACGGCTATGACTTGAACGGAATGCCCGTCCTGCCACCACATCAACCCCAAGGACCAAACCCACCGCCGCCGGGCCAGCAAATGAACGGCCCGCCTGGCGCTAGCAGCTTGGACTCGGGCATCACTTCACACCATCATCCGGACAGCACAGACTCCTATGTGACTTACCTGGAGAGCGATGACAGTATGCAAGGCAGTCCGTAGAACAGACAAGAAACGAATCTAATCACAGCTTCTTTTGTTGCTCCAGAATCCAAGCTGGCGCTGACGCCGTCATCCTCGTCATCGGCATCGGCCGCGACATCGATCTCCTCGCCACCCTCGTCGGCGGCTCACACGGTCGGCGGGGGCGGCGGCGGTGGCGGCTTGGGCGTGGGCGGAGTTGTGGGTGGGGTCGTCGGCGCCGCAATGGGCGGCAGCAATCAGTCAGCTACGGAACAGCTCATGCAAATGCTGCAGAAAGTTACCGGCTCGCCTTCATCGCATGCGGTGCTCTGAGCGCGCCCACTGCGGCAGATAGTGGGCGTGGCAGCGTTACAGTTACAGCTGCTGTGAAACAGCTCGCGGGCTTGTGCAATGTAGCGGAGCTTTCTCTCAATTTCATTTTTGATTCGGTGCCAAAAATAGTCTGTGGGCCAGTGGCCGTTAGCCGTTCGTATTCGTGGCTGACTGTGGGCCTGAGTCCGTAATTTCCTTTGTTATGTAATATAATTTTGTTGTTTTTTGACATTAAATTAATTGCGATTACGCGCAAAATGCTCACACACTTGAAAAGTTTAAACAATAATAATTATTTTGTTATCAAGCAACAAAAACAAAATGCAATGTTTCTTCTCGTCACGTAGGGAATTTCATTAACAAAATTGTAAATAATTTTTATATTTTCATTACAAATGCAAAAATTCATATGCGTACCATTTATCAAATGCAAAACAACACAAACAAATAAAAAAATAAAAACAAAATAATATTAAAAAGAAAAAACAAAAACAAAACAAAAACGAGAAAGTGACTAAACCTCGAGTGTATTGTATGGAATATACTTTAATACTGAAAAGTAAAGTAAACTATAAAACACACTGGGCAACTTGTAAATCGAATTGAAAATGACCGAAGCAGCTACGTGTTAACGAATCGTACTGCGAGAAAAAAAGCTTAAATAAGTGAGAAACTGTAACTAAATCTAGACTTATTTGTTAGTTTTTAGATATTTCCGAAATGCATTAACACAAAGAATAATAGAAAAGGAGACAAACAAACAAAACAAAACACTTTAAGGCAGCGAAAGTACCAAGGATGTTTATAATAAATTGTTTCGTGAAACAACTAATGTATTTTCAATAATATTTAACTAATATTAACAGTGCATAAGTAATTTTAGTAATTATAGAAAATGTTTAAATGAAATTATAAACAAAAATAAAAAGAGAATAACAGAAAATCACACCATAAGTTTGTATTAAATTGTTTTTTTTTTTTTTTTTTTTTTTTTTTTTTTACATATATACAATTTATTAAACTAGTTTTCTACTACCAATATGGCAGCTTAAGCTAGTTGAAAGTTAGGGAATACAAAAGTTGTCTATAGTAAGCATCTATAGGACGCACTTATATCTATGTACATATATACAATATTTACAATGTTTTACATTAGAAATGAAATTATATTTTATGATATATATTATATATTTTATACAAGGGATCTTGTGGGGAGATCCTTTGGATGGCACTTCTTCAATCTTCTCTTCTTAGGTTTGGACAGAAGCCGCCTCGCTAGTGCGTTGGGGTGACTGCCGAGTCGCTTCTCGTAATTGCTTGCGTGCATTTGAATGACATCGCCAACCTTGGGGACACATAAGTCTCTTTCGATGTCCCTAGTGCGCATATACCAGGGAGCGTTGCATATTTTTCTGAGTATTTTAGCTTGCGCAACTCTTATTTTATTTAGGTTCGATGCAGCGGCAATGCCATAAATTGGTAGCGCATACTTCCATATTGGACTTAATATGGACTTGTATACTGTCACCTTACTGTGCAGAGACAGCTTGTTGCAGGGTGCAAGCAGCCATGCCATCTTTCCGGCTTTTGCCATGACCGATCGCTTGACCATTGTTGTATGCTTGCTGAAGTTGAGTCTTCTGTCCAGAATGACACCAAGATATTTGTGCGAATTTGTATGACTGAGCGTGGACCCCAACATTGTGATATCTCCGCATGACGACGGCCTTGTTGTAAATGTGACATTCGCACACTTGCTGGCGTTGATACCAATGTTCCAATTCAGAGCCCACTTCTCGAAACTACTTACATACTGCTGTAAGGCTTCCGAAGCTACATCGATATCTCTGCATCTGGTAAGCACCACAGTGTCGTCTGCGTAAGTAGCTATTAGTGCGTCATCCTCGTCTACTCCAAGGATCTCTTGCGGTGCAGGCATATCAGCAGTAAATAATGTATACAGGGTAGGACCGAGAACACTGCCTTGGGGCACTCCTGCACAAATTGAGCGCCTCGTGGATTTCACTCCATCAACAGCAACTCTGAAGCTTCTGTCCCTTAGAAAGCTTTCGATGAGTTGAAACAATTGAGGAGTTAGCATGCCTTTCAATTTGCAGAGGAGACCATCATGCCACACTCTATCAAAAGCTTGTTTAATATCCATAAACACAGCCACTGAGTACATCTTTTGCTCCATGGCTTCCAGGGCGAAGTTGACCACACGGTGGAGCTGTTCCGGTGTTCCGTGACTTCTTCGAAATCCAAATTGCCATTTTGGAATTCTGCGCGTCACGGCTTCGAGCTGGAGAATCCGGTCCAGAATCACGCGTTCCATCATCTTCCCGAGGGCAGGTAGCAGACTAATCGGCCTATATCCATCTACTTCAGTATGCTGTTTCTCTGGCTTTGGAATCATCGTAATTAGCGCCATTTTCCAGCAGTTTGGAAAGTGCCTCAGCCTGAGTATGTTATTCATGAGCAAAACAATATACAGCAGAGCCCTTGTGGGGAGCAGTTTCAGCGTCCTGTTGTCTAAAAGGTCTTCTCCAGGCGCTTTTTTGACCTTTAGATTTTTTATCTGCTGTACCACTTCTTGCAGTGTAACTGGGCTTGCAGGCAAGGCCATTTGGAATGGCATCTCCAGCCTAAGCTCGACTACCCTTCGCCTATCTGCTGATGTAAAGTCAAAAGGCTTAAATCTTTCCTCTAGGCTGTTTGCAAAGATTTCAGCTTTCTGCTGACTGGAATAGCTCCATCCACCTGTAGGATCCTTAATTGTGTATTAAATTGTGGGGATCAAATTGCTTAGTGAAGGGACTTTTTAAAAAAATAGCGTCGCGGGCTACGCATGCCAAAGCTGGATGCTGGGACATCACTCTTCAGTGAGATGGGCTGCCAGTTTTTGTATTTCAAATATGCTAAGCAAGTTGTATATGCGATCTAGAAACATGACAACAAAAATTGCATTAAATAGACTTTTCCAGAGAAGTCAGGAGGATTCCTTCTTCCCCAAATTCTAAGTCATATGTAAGATATGAAACGTATGATACAAACAACTTTCTAAGACATTCCATTGCAATAACTGCTCTACAAAATCCCGATCGAATAAATTCAAGGAAAATAATATGACACGATAATAAACAGATGGTAAAGTAAACGCAGTTGGGCATGTAACTGTGCTGTGTCTTAAAAAGCCAACTGAAGTTCAGTTACTGAATTTCCAATTGCAATGCCACCAATTGTTACCGGAATCGGCGTTTTAAAATCCCAAAGTGGTGGGAAAACATCTAAATTGGTAGCACTGCCACCATAATCATCGATACGTTTTCCCATCTCTAGCACAGCTGTCACATGGAAAGAAGCAAAGCGTCAAAATAATTGTGCCGCCGGAGTGGAAAATAATTTTATTTTTGTTGAAATAGCTACTATTCAATTAAAATTAAGACGCAATGTCGATAGCAAAGCGTGTTCAGGTAATAAAATAATCATAAAATAAAAGAAATGAAGTAGTAACTGTTGAAATTCGTATTTTTAGCAATGGGCCACTTTTGCTCGTACTTGGCACATTTATGATTGTACCTGGCAAAATCCTTTTGAGTCAGCTAAGCTCATCAAAACACATCTAATGGGACTGCACAAGCCCATATACCATCCAATGAGTAAGTTAACTACAAAATAGAGTTAAGTTGCTATACTTTTAAGTTAAAAATGTGTGCCGACAAGCGGTCTCCTCATTACGTCACATGTGCGCGATTTGTTGTTGTGGGTATGCAAGCAGAAAAAAACATTTATTTGCCCTCCTTGTTTCCCTATGAAATGGTAATTATGAACAGCACTGTATAGCTTCAATATCTTTGATGCGCTCTGTTTTTCTAGGTTACCGCCTAAGCAAATTGTGAGCTTCAATCAAGTCATAAACTTAAATACGTCTTTGCAGATGATTGTGGCGACCATGTGGTACTGATCAACACAAGGGAGATTGCGCTACCCGGTGATGAGTGGGTCAAGCGTGTCTACTTCCATCACACTGGATATCCTGGTGGTGCTTCGTGGACTCTGGCCTGGGAGCTGCACTCGAAGGATCCCACATTGGTCATGAAGAAGGCCGTTTACAACTCGATGAAAGGCAATCTGCAGCGCCGTCACACAATGCAGCGCCTGCATCTATATGCGGATGATCAAGTTCCAAAGGATATACTAGCGAATGTTACGAACCAAATACGCACGCCGCGTACTGTGCCTCAGCGTCTCGATCATATTGATAAAGAGACACTGGAGAACTTCCCCACGATTATGGATTATCCAAAGGACTACATCTTGCGTTAATTGCGGTCGCATTTTTGTTAATTGTAGTAAATAAATACGTTTAAAAAATGACCATCGTTCGTTTTGTGTGTTGGCAATGCCGCCGACAACAGCTGTGATGCTGCCAGACTGTGAATTGAAGTTGTCACTTTGCCGGCTACAGTCGAAGTCGATAGTGATTTGCAATTTATGCTCTCACAGAGACGCAACGCCCACAAAGAAATAGCTTTGGCGTGTGATCATATTGTACAATTAAATTAATAAAAGGTAAGCTTAGAAACCTTTGGGACACATACATACATGTACGTGTTTGTGGTTGTCTTATCAAATACGTTGCATGATAAATCGAGCTGTGATAAGCTTAATCGCACTTTTTATTTATTGCACTTCAATGAGATTAACGGGATCTCTCTTTCGTTTGCAGTATTCAAACGCGCCTTGGGCACGACACAGGCACAACTTTTGCTAACTCAGCCAATTTATAAGCTTCAAAGACGCAATATGGGTCGTCTGGGTACAGTGGATCCGAGCTCCTATTCTGAGCCAGACCTGATTACCACCGAGCACAGTGCGCTGAACTGGACAGTGGACTTTGCGGCAACAAAGTTGCGTGGCAGCGTCTTGCACCGCTTCAATGTGCTGTCCACCAATCTGGACAAGATTGTAAGTGACAAAGATATGTCTTTCTACCATTTCTGTTTTAAATATATTTTCCCTTTCCAGCTGCTCGATGTACGCGACATCAATGTGACGAACGCCACGTTGCTAGCCGATGGCTCCGAGTTGCCTATCAATTACTTCATCAGCGATCCGGTGTCTGATATTGGACAAAAGCTGACGCTGGAGTTGCCAGCCGGCACTGCTAAGGGCAAGTGAGTATATATATGAGTAGTGCGCTAATCTTTATTGGGCCAATAAATAATGCCGTTACCATATCTCGGTTGTAGCTTGAACGTTCGCATCGATTACGAGACTGCCAACAATGCGAGTGGCCTGCAGTGGTTGACGCCCGAGCAGACGCTGGGAAAGCAACATCCGTACATGTTTTCACAATGCCAAGCCATTCACGCACGCTCTGTGGTGCCCTGCCAAGACACGCCATCCGTAAAGTTCACCTATGACGCCGTGATTCAGCATCCGAAGGAGCTGACGGCTCTGATGAGCGCCATTATCGACAAAAAACAGGAGGGCCAGACTAGCTTCAAGCAGGAGGTGCCCATACCAGCTTATCTATTGGCCATTGCCATTGGAAAACTTGTGTCACGCCCCTTGGGCCCCAATTCAAATGTTTGGGCTGAAGAGGCTATTGTTGATGCCTGCGCCGAAGAATTTTCCGAGACAACCACAATGCTAAAGACAGCCTCCGACCTGTGTGGTCCATATGTGTGGAAACAATACGATTTGTTGGTTATGCCGCCTTCCTTCCCATTTGGCGGCATGGAGAATCCTTGTTTGACCTTCGTCACGCCCACCCTGCTGGCCGGTGACAAATCGTTGGCCGATGTCGTAGCTCATGAGATTGCCCACAGCTGGACGGGCAACCTGGTGACCAACAAGAACTTTGAGCATTTCTGGCTTAACGAAGGCTTCACCGTTTTTGTCGAAGCAAAGGTTGTGGGTCGCATGCAGGGACAAAAAGAGCTGGACTTTAAAATGTTGAGCAACCTCACCGATCTGCAAGAATGTGTAAGCGCTCGGGGCTTGCCCTTTCCATTTGACTTTAATTTATAATTCAACGTTTTATTCAGTTGCGCACCCAACTCGCCGGCACGCCAGAGCTCAGCAAGTTGGTTGTTGATTTGTCCAACTGTGGACCAGACGATGCATTCTCCTCGGTGCCTTACATGAAGGGTTCGACCTTCTTACGTTATTTGGAAGACTTGTTCGGTGGCCCCAGCGTCTTTGAGCCATTCCTGCGTGATTATCTGAAGAAGTTCGCTTACAAATCAATTGTTACCGATGATTTCAAGGGGGCGCTATATGACTACTTCAAGGACACTGATAAAAAAGATAAGCTGGGGGAAGTTGACTGGGAGCTTTGGCTTAAAAGTGAAGGCATGCCGCCTATCATACCCAAGTAAGTTTGATAACATCATTGTGGTATAATTCTCCGTTCACACAGCTTTTGCTTTCTCTGTAGATTTGATGAAACCCTATCTAATGTTACCAAGGAGTTGGCGAGAATTTGGAGTAAAAGTACTGTTGCCGAACTAATTGACAACAATAATATAAAACAGAAAATTTCGATACATCAACTAATCGACTTTTTGGGCAAACTGATCGAGCATCAAGATATAGTGGATTTGAATGAGCGCAAGATCGAGTTGCTCGAGGACACGTACAATCTGAAGCAGTCGAAGAATGCCGAAGTGCGTTTCCGCCTCAATCGCTTGATTATACGCGCCCGCCTTATCAAACGTCTAGATGAGATCATTGAGTTTGCCAACTCGAATTTCCGAATGAAATTCTGTCGTCCAATTTATCGCGATTTGGCTGCCTGGCCTGAGGCCAAACCCATTGCCGTGCGTAATTTTGTGAGTGTGCGCGACCAAATGATGGCCGTCTGCTCGCACACAATCGAGAAGGATTTGGGACTTAAGTAGAATTGAATTCTAAATTAATTAAAATTAAAATATGCATTTCAAAATTTCTTAGTGAACATAACGTCAATTTCAAGGATTCTTATATCCGCCCACTTGTGGTCTTTTCGTTTTATTATTGTTTTTATTAAAAAATAAGCAAAACTACGTTTATAACAAGTTGATTTCAATTTTTAATGCTTCTCCGTGTACGACCCAATCCACCGGCCAAGTAATTTCGTAATTTCTCTTCTGCTTTTTTAAATAGTTTTCTGTTGCCATTGTGCAATTTGTGTTGTTTTTTGTTTAGCTGGCAATTTAATTGTCCAAAATTTGTGGCTTTTGTTTCGGTTTACAATGTGCCAATATCATTGTTAATTTTCAAAATGTTGTATTCAGTTATATGCGTTTGACTAATATCAAATCGTTTCGTCTATAACATACAAGTAATCGTTAAATTTCGACTGCTATGCGACTGCTGCTTGCCCTTCTGCATCGTCGCCGTCGTCTTTTTGTCATACAATTTTCAATTAAATTCTTTTTAGTTCGCCTCTTCATAGTTTACGCTTACACACACACAATTATTAAATTTATTATTGTTTTGCTGCTCTCAATTTCTTCAACTTTTGCTGTTTCAACTATTCAACAATTTGTTTTTTGTTTTGTTTTTGTTTTTTCTATATATTTCTTTTACATTTAGCAAATGCAACGCCTCAACATTTGACTCCTCGAAATCTCCGTTCAGTTATTATTTTTACTTTGTGGACAATTTGTTTGTTTCTTGTTTTTTTTTATATAAATTTCATCTTTGTGTTGAGGAATAAAAACTATCACGCACTGGAATTATCATTGGAACGGGATGTGGATGGACCGGCACCCTGATCATCGCCTAGGACGAATGTGGGACTCTGGCGGGACGTTGACGCAACCGGTTGGTAGTGATAGCCCTCGCGATAACGTTGATTCGGTTTAATGCGAGCGGTTTGACCCAAAGTTGGACGCTGATTGTTAAGCTCATTGGGTCGTTTGGCTGAAAGAAAAAACAGGAAGTTTAAGCACTTTTCCATTTTGTTTATCTTACAAAGAAATTTAATATTTTCAATAGCTTGAACATAGAGGACGATTTTCAGCTGAATTGTGGGATGCGTGTATCGAAGTTTTTTAATCTACAAGACCAATCGAAGTTATCCTTAAAAAGTTGTTGCAAATTGGTTTTCTATTAATCCGCATGGCCTGCGGTACTTTGCTAAATTTTTATAATGATCTTAGAGCGGTAATTACCTCAGAAATGGCCGACAATGGTAATAGACTGCCGATGAAATGGAAATACATTCCACAAGGTTTTCGAAATTACGAAATTGCGGATTATACTTTTCTAAAAGTAAAGCAATGGCCTGATATCCGTAGAAATAGATCAGCATAAAATATTCATAATTTATCAAACGAGTGGGCGTTCTGAGATTGCCGACAAATTGTAAAGTGATTTGTGCCTAAACTCTATCAGCTTAAATACCAGTCTCAAATTGTTAGGTGAGTGATAAACGTATCAAAACTAATTCTACATTTACTATATTTCAATGTATTCGGAAAACACATTGCAAATGGCTGAAATATTGAGCAATGTTTATTTGAAATTTATAATTCGTAATCATTGAATTTATTAAAAAAGTTCGATCCGCGACTAAATGTAACCATTGCTTTGGCCGTTCCGAATATTGAAGAACAGAAAAGCTAAATAAAAGCTATAGCTGGGGATTTCTTACCAGGTATATAAGGCTTTTGATTATAGGACGATTGTTGCTGTTGGTTGTACACATCAGCCGCCGTGGTTGGCGCATTTCCATTGTTGTGGCTGCTGTGCTGATACGGCGAGTGGTTGTTGCCCGGCTGTAGGTCTGTGCTGTTCAGCGGACTCATAGGCGTCATTTCCCGATCCTCGATAAACAGTTCGCTGACATCGTCCGGCACCTGACGATACTGAGTCCAGGGCCAGGAGGCGATTCCCGAAAGTAGTAGAGCCTCCAAGGCGCACACGTAGCCTATTATCTGTTTATTTGAACATACAAGTGGAAAGATAAATTGAAAGCTCAATGAATAATTCCTTTTCGGTTACTTACGCCCGTGGCCAGGAGTGTGTCTTTTGAGTGCTTCGATACCCAAGTGTACTCTGTGGCGTAGAGCACCATGTGAACAAGCAGCGTGGAGCTCAAAATCAATATCAAACCAATACTCAGGTACATCCACGTATTCTGTGGAATTAAAATGCAATTTAAACTGGCTTTTAGATGCAATTTTCGCGAGCATACTGACCACTTTCGTCCAATTGAATGGAAACATGAGCGCTATATGCGATATATCCAGAAACAGCATGAGACATGTGATGAGTAGTGAGAAGAGCGCACAGAAGACCATCAGCCTTAGGCGTCCAATGAGTGGCAGTAGAAAGAGGCCCACCTGCACGGTGCCCGCGGAGCATTCGCAGGCAAGGCAGGCAGCCGAGGATAACTGCAAGGCAATGACAAGATTTGCATTTTTAATAATCAAATATAATAAGTTGAAAGTTAGCTACTTTCGTATCTCATAATAAAAGGTAAGCAAAATGTTAAGCATAGACCTTTGTGGTCTAATTCTCAACTGATAAGTATTGCGAATTATACAACTTTTCTGGAAGCTGATCATTTAAGTGCTAGCAGTATATGTGCATGCGATTTAAATGAATATTCCCAAGGATGAGATTTCCATGATTCCGGTCTTCGTGCGGCAAAAGCTGAATGAAATTAATCTAAACTAAACCAATCTATTACTATAGTTAATAGTTTATCTGCTAGCTACTATATATGAATTGACCTGCTCCCTATATAAAACAGGACTTATACTTAACAAGAAAGGAATGCTAAAGTCGAGCAGGCTCAACTCTTAAATACCCTGTACCACCCCACAAAAAAGTAATTAAATTAATTAATTAATTTAATTTAATTAATTAACTAAATTAATTTAATTAATTAACTAAATTAAATATAAAATATTCCATGCATGCATACATACATTTACATTTACATCAGAATCGTGCCTTATGCGCGTTGTGTACTTGTACATATGTATGTATGTGTGCATTGGGCCTAGTTATATGGCTATAACTTTCTTTCCGATCATTCTATCATAATGAAACTTGGTATACGGATATATAATTACGAACCTAATGTGACTACCAAATAGTTAGTTCAAAATTCCAAGAATTACGGGAGTTATAGAAAATCGTTAATAGGGGGGGGGGGGGGGGGGGGGGGTGGATCAGAAAAAATGAACAAACTCGTCCTTTCTCGGTCTCAGGAGAATCTGTATACCAAGTTTGGTTATTCTAGCTCTTATACTTTCGGAGATCCTTGCGTTCATACAGACAGACAGACGGACAGACAAACGGACAGACAGACGGACATGGCTATATCGACTCGGCTTGTCATGCTGATCAAGAATATATATACTTTGTGGGGTCTACCAAGCCTCCTTCTGTGTGTTCCATGTGCACTCGCACAAAACTAATATACCCTTGTACCCTTTGGGTACAGGGTATAAAAATGTCATTTGCTTTAATGTGTACCTAAAATCGACCTATTTCATTTTTAATATAAATAGTTACAGAGGCACACAATTAAAAGTTTGGCAGAATTCTGGCAAACGAGTGTGGGCCGAAAATGGATAAACTATGTAAATGGTATGGCTTCCACAAAAAGTTGTTGGTTCGTAGCTGCTTTCTTTGAAAATTGTATTTATTTATTTATTTAAATGTATGTCAACAAACATTGACAGCCGACATGGGAAAAGAGCATATAAAAATTATTAAAAAAAACCTTATAAGCTCGGAGAGCCTAAGTGGGAAAAATGTAATTAAATTATAATAATATCTGATAAATATATATTATCAAATTAAATAAATTATATTGTATTATTTGCCATTTAGCTAGCTAAGGCCCGTCTCACAACCAAATGTGGTCAGAGGCGCGAATAGATCTACCAATATAAAAAGATAAAACTTAACCGAGTTAAGGAGTTTGGAATTAATTAAAAACTAATTTAAAAAAAAGCAAAAAAAAAAAAAACAAATTAGATCGCTCGTGATAGCTCATTACTATACAACAGCCTATATATGTATGTATATTACAAATACTTGAGCTTCATAATTCAACATCATAAAAAAGTACGCGCGCTAATAAAACAAATTTTTTTTAACATTCTGGTTATTTATCAAAATAATATGAGTATTTAAAAGAAGAACAATTGAAAATATAATGGAACAAGATACGATTCTAACTAACTATGTCATAACCGGAAGGAAGGTGACACATTCTTGAACGCAATTCAACTGGCAAAAAAACTAAAGATCATAACACATTACAATTTTGAGTTTATATAATAAAAGGTACTACTTAAGACTAATCCACGCATTACTTACCACCAGTAGTATGCGCACAATCCCTGTAGGCGATTTCAAGTGTTGCGGATCACAGTGTAGGGCGACGCCCCATGGCAGCGGTGTATGGCCGTTGCGCTGTTTATAGTTGGCGTGCGAGTCCCAGGAGGTGCACGTGCCGAGGGGCGATTCTAGGGACAGCGAGAGCTCACCGGCCCTGCTGCCAGCTATTTCAAAGTCTTGCTCATCGTCCAGCTGACAGCAGACCGGCTCCAGCTCCAGTTCACGTATCTCGTCCAGCAGCAGTTCTATCTCGTCCGTGCCATATAGATCAGATACAGACGGTATATAACGTTGGGGTTGTTGCATTGCCCGGTACGGGATGTGTCCCACATCACCGTTGCGTGGCGTCGCGTTTGAAATGTGCGGGGAATGTGCAGCCACAACCACAGCCACGGAACTTTTCTTGCTCTGAAAGTAAAAAGTGGTAGAAAATTTTTAAAGACGCCCAGAGGTATGCTGCATTGCTCGGACGCCCATTAGCCGACGCGACTCGACGCGACGCTGACTGCGATGTCAGTCATTAGCGGTAATTTAATGCGTGACACACAAATGTCTGTCACTCATACGCCATGTGTCGCAGTCCCCAAGCGACGCCAGCCGACAGCAGACAGCAGACAACATTTTAATTATGCGCGATATTTGCTTTGTGATAAACTGAAATTAAATCGAATTGCTTTTGCAACTGCCCCAGCAACATACTATATGCGAGTATGCAACACTTTCTGGCATCTGCGCCGCATGCATGTCACACTCGGGCAATTAACACGTACATACATGCACGTACACGTACATGTCCTGCAGTTGCGCCTCCGCTGTGTGAGCATGTGTGCATGTGTGTATGAGAGAGCTTTTACTGATGGCTACATGAAAGCGACTCCACTGAGATTTCGGTGCCTGCCATTCGCCCCAAAGCCTGCCACAACATTTTCCTTGAGTTGTCATAATCAGGACACAAATGAAGGTAGCATTGTTGTTCTTCTGCTGTTGTTGCTGTTGCTACAGTGTACAAGGACTCTGAGGCAACAGAATGGCAGGACAACCACAACGCTACTCGTATTCGTATTCATTTTGCGGGCTTGGGCCCAGTGCGCTGGCCAGTCAACAGTCAAGGAAGCTGATGCCCAACTAATGTGGCTACCGAGTTGGAGATGAGTGCCGGACGTGAAATGTGAGGTGAGTCGAATAAGTTATTCGTCAAAAACTGATTTTTAATTCAAGGGAAAACATTGCAGATTCCGATAAATGAATTGGATAAATTTATTAAGTCACTTCTTAAAACCCACGTTTCAGGTCTAATAACGTATAGTATGTATTTCTGTGTGTTATGAACCTGATTGAGTTCATTAGATTGACTATTATATATAGAATAACAATTATAATGACATTTACGTTAATTAACATCAGTTTTATTGCACCATACATAGGTCAGCTATTCGATAAAGCGTTCAGGAATATCAGCCTATAGTGTCCCTTTACATAAAAATCATAAATACTACATGTACTTATTACTCGGAAATGCGGTAGAGCTAGGCAGTGATTACATTTATGGCTATAACTAGCTTAAATATTGAACTATCATGATGAAACAAAAACATAAGAACTAACCGAAAGTAATTGTCGAAAAAAACAGAAAAATTAAAACAGGGGGATATAAAAAATCACTAATAGCGGAAGTGAGTTCCCCCTATCAGAAAAAAAAAAACACGGACAGACGGACATTACTATATCGACTTGCCTTGTCATGCTGATAAAGCATATATACACATTAACATCTCACTCTTTCCGAAAATGATTTTAATGAAGTAATGTCTATAAAAGTAATGTATAATAAAAATTGGCATACGGAGCCTGGGTCTACTCCTAGCCAAGGCATATTTAGTACAGATGAGAAATTTAGTGCCTAGTGAGAAATTCATACTTTTAATTTGCAAAGTATATACTATATATATGTATATATACGTACACTTTCTTTTTATACCCTGTACCCGTAGGGTAAAAAGGGTATATTAGGTTTGTGCAAGTATGTAACATACAGAAGGAAGCATCTCCGACCCCATAAAGTATATATATTCTGAATCAGCATGACGAGAAATCGATCTAGACATGTCCGTCCGTGTGTCCATCCGTCTGGATGAACGCAAGGTTCTCAGAAACTATAAAAGCTAGAATAACCAAAGTTGGCATCCAGATCCTCCTAGGTCCGAGAAAGGACGAGCTTATTTTATTTTTTGGAATTTTTCCCCCCTTCCCCCGCTACAGAATTACGTCAATAGCGTCCTCATTTCAAATGCTACCTAAACCAAACTTTGCACACATAATTTATATATAATTATCTTCTGTTGTTGTTTGAAAACCAATAAAAGAGGAACGTAAGGATGCAACTCATAAAAATGCGGATGCCTTTTAAATTATGATTTTTATTTACATCATTACATCCTGCAATGGTGACTTGAAAAATAGTCTTGGTCAGAAAAAGGATCATCATAAGTATGTACATACAAGTATACTTGTATACATACTTAAGTATATAGACATGCCTGTGTCATCACGCTGCCATCTCTAATCCATAGTTGAACATATGTCGCGCTTTGTATATATGTATATAACTAGTATGTTTGTTCCTATGTATATAATGTATACGTGTATGTGCGTGCTTGTGCAGTGGACAGGCATGTAACCGTTTTCCTCTCGCTCTTTTTTGCATGTTTTTTTCGAAGTTTTTGTTGTTGCTGCAGCAATAGTTGTCCTTGCTCCACTTTGCTCTTGCAGAGCAGCCTCAGCCGCAGCAGCAGCAGCAGCAGCAACAGCAACAACTTTACTTTGTTGGCCAGCCTATATACACACATACAAACATACCCACATATGTATGTATGTATATACTGGCAGATATGCGCAACGTTATCTCAACATTGCTTATCGTCGCATCTATCTGTGCAGTTTTTTCTCCTGAGGCAGCAAAAATTGTTCCGCCTGTGCATGCCTTTGTTGCCAGCACAAGCACTCCTCGCCGCCTTCTCTATCTATGTATATACTTGTATAGTACATATGTTCAAGTGTTTAATGATTGGCTTTAAAGGGGTCTTCGGCACTCCAGCTACTCACTACTTAATGCAACATCAGACGTGCGCTATCGTCGTCTATTGCTGAGGACGTTAAACTCTTCAGTGCTAAAGACAATGAGCGACAGAAGCACCCCAACGTTAAAACCTTCTAGCTATATGTAGATACGTAGATACGTATTATACTATATATATGTATGTACATATGTATATTTGTGACTCGCCTTTGCGGCAGCGCGCGCCCAATTTGAAATCAATTATGCTTATCTGCATATAAACTGACTTTACAGGGCTTCCTGTTTAAGGGGACACTTGCGCCATCTAGCGGAAGTACTGTCATTATAGCTGTTATTTCTGCTGTTGTTGTTGTTGCTGTGTATGCAAATTTATTGTCACTGGCCCTCGCCTGGCCTAACAGTAGAAGCAGAAAAACAACAACTTTGCTGCATTTCTTATTTATGAACATGTATAGACAATGGCTTTACTCTGTTGCTTTTGTTTGAGTTTTGAACGCTTTTAGACACACACACACACGTACACGCACACACACAAAGCAAACACACCACAGTACTGGCACTGTAGTACACACACACACACACACACATGCATACACATACAAATGTACTTCGCATATTTGCCGCATTCAATGGACCAGAGTTGCGGTAAATAACTTTTAATAGAATTTTTAATGGCCAGTCAGTATATTCGAAGCGAATGGAAGAGAGAATATGGCCGAATAAAGGACATACTTGTATGATAAATATGGGCATAAATTTACCAACACTCCTCATTCAATGTGGCGGCAACATAAGATGGACTCTTCCAAAATAACTGACAAGGCAAATAAAAGTGTTCCTTGTATTTGAAGTATGTAATTGATTAACGCTTTGTTTGGCCGTGATGCATATTTGCAACATACCATTTATATGGATTTGTTTCTATACATATTTTAGAAAAGAGCTTGATATTTATTGGATAAGCATCTGAAACGTTCCCTCTTTCGATTTCTGCGACCTGATCATATGTACACATGATTTTATCGCCAATTTATTTGGCTAATTTCCCGTACATTTTGTGATTTCCGAAAGAGAGCTCAAGTTCAAATGTTGTCTTATGCAAAATGGAATAAAGTCGTGTAACCATATATAAAATGATTAATTTTCAAACCGTGTTAAATCAAAGCCGTGCAAAAATGTGTATATTCCAAGTGCACAGGATTCTCTCAAGAAGAGTGGGCTTTCCACTGTCTTTTAACACGAATTCCACGAATATTTACTTTAATTAAATATGTTTATAAATGTTTTCAAAGGATTTGATGTTCATTCACAACATTTTGTTAATGTTTGATTTATTTGACAAAGACCTTTGCTTATAAAGATTAAATTATCACCTCCAGCATATTTGTTGCAGAAATGCAACATACATTCAATATATACATATGCTAAAGCCCAGTAAATCAAAAAAAAAAAAAATAAAAAGAAGTGAATATTTTTAGATGATTCAATTTACAAAATAATTTCTAGCAGTTCTTCTGATGATTATAAGTAATATATTTGTGCACCTGTAGTTTTATTTTTGTTGTTGTCATACATCGACGCGTTTAAGGCCAATCGTTTTTAGAAAGGCAATATTTCAAGAAAGATATACATAACATATCTGATGCTGATTATATGTTATCGGTACACTTTTGGAGTCTGCCCTCGTAAACAGAGTTCAAAGCTCGGCTCAACGACCCTTCATCGATTCTACCGCATTGAACTATTGAGTCGAAGGTGTTATCAAACAAAGGGTTGAGTCCAAATGATTTAAGTTAAACAAATAGTTATCAAAAGGAGTTAAGTCCTATAAATAGGATCTGTGTTTATTCCTAGATCAAATTTTATTCATTGATTAAAATTGGGAAAAAAAACATTTTTCATTAAAAAGCTGCATTATTCTAATATTTATTTTTCTTACTTTTAATTACTTATGTTAAAATAAAATGAAATAAACTGAAACTCATTAACTATCAATAGTTCATAGCATAATAACGATTTATGAAAGGTTTGATTAATACAGGAAAAAACATTGATCAGATTGAAAAACGTATGAATTTAAATGAGGGCCACTTTGTGAGCCAGTACAGTAAACAAACTATATATTGGTCGACTGGAAGTGTAGAGCACTCACAGATATAGAACTGTCACTAGACCATGTAAGGAAAGGGCTTAAAGTAAAGATGCGCTTGGAAAGTAAAGATTTTGGAAGCAGAAAGTGGGAATAATTTTAAAAATATACACTATATGTGTACATCGTGGCACTGACTTTAAATGTAGATTTTTCTCTTCATTTTACTGGGATTTTAAATTT